ACGACGGTGGGTCGTGATGGGAGAGACTGTAATAGACGAGGTCTCGACGGGGTGCTTAGCGTGACTAAAGGGTAATTCTTGTCGATGGACACGGAGCCGGATCCAGATACAACAGGGTTGGATTAGACCCGGGTCCACTAACTATTCACCCGATTGCCCGTTGTACTTGATTATACCAATCTAATAAACAAATAAATTGTTAAATTATTTTATTAATAAAATTTATATTGCATTAATTTATATACATATTTAATAAAAATATCGTATAATATATATTTTTCAAAAAAAAAAAAGAATAGTAAAATATTATTTCATTCTTTCTCCCAATCGGTACCAAAATATTTAAAGAGCAAACACCTTAAGTACAAGTTTTTATTATTTATCAAATATGTAACAATCTTAAAACATTGTCAAAAGATTTATAAATTCATTTTTAGTTACTAACAAATATTTTATTAACATATCAAATCAAACACTACCCTAAAGTATCTTACAAAGATCAATAACCCTTCTCTTCCTCCTTATAAACCTTTTTATTCATTTGTCTTGGATTGAGTCCAACAACAATGATTTTTCAGACTTGAAAAAAATTATATTTAAAAATTTAATTAAGCATAAAATTATATAAATTAAAATTATAAAAGTTTAAATGAAGAAAAATTAAATTTTGTTGATATTTTTTTAAGTAATAAAGACCTAAATGATAATAAATACAAAAAATAAGGTCAAAATATAATTTTGAAAATGCAGGGTACCTTGGCAGGTGAGGTGTCTGGGTGGGCTAGGTCGTTCAGCCACGTGTGCGTACACGTTGCGAGATCTGAAAATGCATGGCCCAAATCTGTCTTGCAGATTCGACAGCTCCCGGAAGCTAATATGAGAGCTTCATTTTCAGCTCTTGGAGAGGGAAGAAGAACCCTAGCCGCCAGGGAAGTCCAGGCGGCATCGGGGCCAAGAGAGAGGAGAGAGGGGAAGAGCCTTGGCCGTGTGAGGTGAAGGAGTGTGCGGCGGTCGCGAAGGTGGAAGACGAGGCGGAAGGGGAGACGTCGCGGGAAGAAGAGATAGAGACAGAGAGAGGCGTGCGAGGGGAAAAGGAAGAGAGAGAAGAGGAGATCGTCGGGTGGAAGAAGAAGAAAAAGAAAAAGAAGAAGAAAAAGAAGAAGAAGGAGAAGAAGGTGAAGAAGAAGAAGAGGAGAAGGGAAAAGAAAGGAGGCATGACGGCCATGGTGGGCAGTGTACGGCCGAGGGTTAGTGAAGTCGAGAGAGGAAGCAAATTTGAACAACCGGCGCGATGTACAGCGATCCTGTGGAGGAAAGAAGTGTGCAATGTTTGTGGTCGGGAGGAGGGGACTTTGCGTGCGGCGGTTTCGCGAAACAAAGGAATCCGATGTAGTGGCAATGGTGGACACGGCGGAGGAGAGAAGAAACAACCCCAGGGAAGAAGCAAGAAGAAAAAAAAGAAAAAAAAAGAAAAAAGAAAGAAAAAAAAAGAAGAAAAAAAAAATAAAAGAAAAAGAAAAAAAAAGAAAAAAAAAGGGGGGGAAAAAGAAGAGATAAAAAAGAAAAACAAAAGAAGAAAAAAAAAAAAAAAAAAAAAAGAGAGAAGAAAGAGGTGGGTGTGGCTTGATCTACTGTTGGTACGCGCGGAGGCGTGTACTAATCACAGTGGCATGTGCGGTAGAGCGTGACTATTACAGTGGCATGTGCGGTAGAGCGTGACTATTCCGGTGACTCATGTGGTGGTGCGTGGTATAATGCCCAAGTTTAAACTTAATGTGAATTAAATTTATTTAAATGCAATTTTTTAATTTTTTTAATTGTATTTTGGAGTAAAAATGAAATAAATTTGATGGATGATAAAATTGAAAATAATTTCAAGAAAAATGGGTGAAAGTTTGGGTTATTGAGGTATTTTTGAAAAAAAATTAAGGGTCAAAATATAATTTAAAGAAATTTTGTCACGTCGGATGTCCGGTCAACAGGCCCGATGAATTAGGACACGCCGCGTGGCAGCGGACGCTGACGCGGTGCCATATGGGAGGCCACGCAGGTGATCCGCGTGCTCACGATCGAATGGTCTATATCTGTTCCCACGAGCATGAACGGTCTGGATGCGTTCCTTCCCCAACGCGATCAAACGGTTAGATTTAAACACGATCACACGGTTCAGATTGGATCGCGATGAATGACTTAGATTAGATCATGATGAACGGTTCAGATTCATTCCCTATTTAATCGCGATCGGACGGTTAAAATCAAATACGATGAACGACTCAGATTAAATGCGGATGGATATAAATAACCCCCACTCGCACCAAAAGAGACCGCCGCTGCGCCGGAGCTCTTTCCAACCGCCAAAAGAGGTAAAAAAAATTTTCTTTACTCTGAATTCAAATTTAAACACATCTATGGCCAAATCAGAGCAAAAAGACCGGCTGTTAGCCAGAAAAGATGAGAATTTTACAAAACGCCTCCGATGAGACTCTTTATGATTCCTATTTTGCGTAATTTTTTCACCTTTGTGACCACCGTTTTCTTTTCTACAGGTTGACCGGAGCAAAACACCCAACCGCAATGTGAGCTGGAGGAGTCGTCGCATCGGAGCACCTCGCCACCGGTGAGTTTAAGTTTTTTTTGTGTTTTTTCGACCAACCGATGTTTTTTAACGTTTTTTCTCACAAGAATTGATGCAGAATCAGTCAAAAACAGCTAACCCGAGGTGGACTGTCGCCGCGGGCGGCGGCGCCGTCGTCAGAGCATGGCGGAGCTGCCGTGCCAAAATTTTAAAATTGGCCCAAGTGGGCCCTGAGATTGATTTTGGGTTTGTTTGAGACATTTGTAGGTACTTATAGTGCGTTTTGATTCCTGAAGAAAAATTCAGAGAATCTGGGGATCCCCAGTGGACGCAGTCAACAGTTTAACCTTTCGGGCACCAAATTGAGTAAGAATCCCTAACCCTATTCTCTGTTATAGAATTGAAGTCTAATTAACAATAAATACAGTATTTTATATAAGTTAGAAATGTTCAGGATTAATTATGGATTATTAATAGAGACAGAACCGGAAACTATTCTCTGTTGATTGTTTTTACAGTTTTAAATGCATGATAGTGCCTTTATTGATTTATTTTATAGCTTTGAATGCATATATTGTTGTTTTACATGTTTAAGGTTAAATTAAAAAAAAATGAACGTTAAAAGTAAACGAAAAACTTATGTGATTAAGTGATTGGATGAAACGACAGTCTTACTGGACATCCTGGAAAATGGTGGACGAACCAGGTACACAAGGAACCCTATCATGAACGTGTTTTATACCAGACGAGGTATGGAGACTTGATAATTTGGGACTCATATCGGACGAGATATGGTGATTACCCGCTTCACCCTCATACCGGACCGAGTATTGAGGTTTGGTAATTGTGGCTCATACCGGACGAGATATGAGGACGACCCGTAATTGAGAGCGTTAAAGGAAAAGATTCATGCGTAGCGGGAACATCCCTATGAACCCCCACGGATACCAGCAGGCTGGTGAAAAAAAGGGCAATTATTGTTTGATGATTTGAATATGAAAGTATAATATGTGTTATGTTGACAATTATAGATGGAATCATGATATATATAATGTTATTATTTTCTCAAGGTTGTTTTCTATAAATCTCACTATAGTAAGTAGACGGTAAATAATTTTATTATTGATAAATGAATTTGCTTAATTTAGTGCTCCATTAGTTATTTTTATGATTTCTGCCAATTTTAATTTCTGTGTTGGTGATATAGTGTGATCTTCTTACTAGGTTAGTGTAGTTCATCCCTTATTTAACAATTTCATATCAAGAGGAACATGATCCAGAGCCCGATCCGTAAAAGGGTTGCGAGTAGAATACTAGTTTTTTTTTTATTTTCCGTTCATTTTCTTATTTCATTGCATTCCTTTCAAAATGGTGAATTCCGGAACACTAATTAGTACTTTAAGTTATTGTGTAAGGAATATAAACCTTAAATATTTATTTTGCTTTCGCACTTTAATTATTATTTATTTCTTTTGAATATTTTCAGAGATCTCGGATTCAAAGGTAAAATCGTTGCCCTTTTGTTTCGTAGCATTTCGATTATTACTCATTTTTAATGACATGCATATTCCGGTTGTGAACCAAAAAAACATTGGAGTGGTAGTCGGGAGGTGGAGAGAATCGTAACCCGATACCATTTTGGGTTACCGCGTTGATGACCGTGGGGTTCATGCCAGCCAACTACTTCCTAGAGCGAAGTGGGTTGCGTCTCTTTCGGGAATCCCGAACTCGTTGAAGGCCAATTCCGAAAAATTTATATATTCATGTTAATTCATTAAGTTAGATTTTGGATTGATTTTAGGTAAATTGAGTAATTAGACTTAGAAATCTAGGTGAGTTATTAGTAATTATAAAGTTATTTCGGTAAAAAGAAAGATATCTAATAATCGATATATAGCTTCACATAGGCCATGGGATTGGGGAGAGCGTAAAGGAGCGTAAATCGATGTCTTAGTTGTCCGAGAAGGTAAGTATATCTAGTAGCTATCCCGAAACCACATTTGTATATTTTCAAAAATGTTTTCAAATAAAAACCTAATTAAGTTTTGAGTAAAGTTTATAAAATTAAGGAATCAGGTAAGTGAAAGACATTGAAAAATAGTGATACTGTATATTTTAATTTGTCATTTGCTTGTTGCTTGATTTTTGAATGAAGATTGCATGTTTTAAATACTGTATGATTGATGATTGATGGTATGATGAGTTGCATAGTTTGAGTAGAAAATTAATAATAGTGCAAATTCACCAATAAGATCATGAACACATAAAATAACTTTCACAAATAAAATAAGATCAACAAAAAAAAATACATATTCTTAAATTAAATTAGAGATTTTAAATAAAACTAATAAAACTAAAAATTAAAAATAGTAAAAACATTAGAACATGAATAATAAACAAAATGATAACTAAATAACTTACAATAAACAGGAAAGTGTATAATTAAGGAGAGTTAGTAAGTACTATAAGGATGGAAAAGAGACCAATTGAGAGAATTAAAATAGTGTGAGATATAGAGTAAGGTTAATTAAAAAAGTGTACAAAGTCTTTAAAAAATATAATTAGTTTGTTAGAAAAAATAAATAAATAATATCAATCTTAGTTATAATAGGAAGAAAAACAAAACAAAACAAAAACTTAGAAGAAACAAAAATTTAGAGATAACCTATTTAAGATTGATATGACTGAAATTTAGCGGTGTGGTGAATTCTAGTTCTTGGGTGGATGGAAACCCTTCCAGACGTGGTTGGGGGGTCATCTGGCGAGGGACTGCTGTGACCATTGTATGTGTTTTGGTTGTGTGTGCATCCCCTTGTGATAGTGGAAATCCTGATATCACAATGGTACCAATTAGATAACGGATATACCCATTCAATCTTAAAGAAAAATCTAAAACTTTAATAACTTTAATTTGATGATTTATATTGAGAAAAATTGAGAATCGGGGATACCCGCTGAGGGGTTACAGATATCTCGATTTGGCCAAAAATTTGTAAGAAATTCTAATATGTGAATATATGAGATAAGTATGGATTATAGAGAAACTGATAGATGAGTATGGTTTTGAAACTAGATATGATGTGATAATAGTGTATGATATGAGTAGTTACAATTAGAGAATTAAGAACGAAAAGAAATTAACGAGATAATGAGGAAATAATAAGAAAGAGAAATTTTAAGAGATAACTAGTAAAGGAGAATAGCGAGGGAAAAAAAGTAGATAAAAAGGAAGTTATGGGAAATAATGAGAGATGAGATAGGAAATGAAATATCTCTGCATTTTATGGTTTTCAAATATAAAGGGAAAGAAAAGTTTTACATTTCTGACTGATTGTATATAGGAATGTCGCATGCGTAAAGTGTAGTTTATTCGATATACTTATTGAGTCAGTTGTTTTACTCATTCCATTCAAATTCTAATTTTTTTCAAATAAAATCAATGAAAATAATTTATAGAGCCAAAACTGAAATTTCATGTTTAGTTTTCATATGATGAGTTTTAATCCAATTGTGAACTCTACAATTTTCGGTAATCTTGTGATGTAAATTATGTTACATGTTGTATAAGGAATAAATAGCTTTTGTTGTACTTTTTTTGAAATTTTATGTCATATCTTCCGGTTTAGTTGTATTTGACAGCGTGGTTTCTCGTTGGAGAATTGCGGGCCATCACATTGAGAGTTTTCAGGGAATCATATCAATTACCAAACAGACAAGAATTTAGAGTATCTGTGAAGCTCTTAGTTATATCAATCATCAAATACAAATACCTTGTGTTGAAAATAATCTTAATGTCATTCAGGTTCTAATGTCTGTTTCATTCCTGAGAATATATATAGTCACAAAAATATGTACAGAGTTTTGTTATCCACTTGTCTCCCAGGTTATGCACTTCAAAGCAGAGGAGTTTCCAACGCACTTCAGCCATCAAAACAAAATGAAGCACCATAGCCTCTGCTCTTTGCTATATGCAATGGCATCATAACTACAAGTGAGGAAATATGTATTGACCTGTGTATTGAGCTGTGAAAGAGTCTGGAAAAACCAAGAAAATAGAAAACTATATATTATCTATGTATAAAAACTCGAAGATCACTTTAACTGCAATGCCTATCAGAAAGAGATGAGATCAATGATAAACAGCTCTCTTCTCTTTGCTGGCGGAAAACCACCAATCTGGGAACCTGAGAATCAAATACACATTAGATGAGTCACCTACAATGAGAAAACAGGAGGGAGAGCAATCTTGCATAAATTAACTTGAAGAGGTAGGTCACCTAGAATGAGACCTGCACTGTGTCTCCCCACTAAAAAAGCCTACAGAATCGTTGATGGTCAAAGAGTTAATGTGGACAAACAACTTCGGTGGACTTTAATACTTCAGAGCAACAGTGCTCATCTTTCTGGAGGAAAATACTTGCAATTTCTTGGCCAGCAAGAGGGTGTTATCCCCTGCAAAAATGAAAATCATAAGATCATCAGATTGCGTTGTTTAATAATGAATACCAAATACTTCAATTTATAAGAAAGGAACATGCTATTTAAAAGAAAAAGATCAGAACAAGTCATAGAAATCATCAATGTCAATTGTCCTGTAAACTGTTGCCCCAACAGAATAATGCTATCATAGTACTTTCTACAGTTCATATAAAAGTCCTAACAAAAACAGACTCGTGCTTACCCAATATCTAAATTGTCCACAGGTGTATGTAGATGCAGAAACTTTTCACTAACAAGCACCATCACTAATATAGCAGGGGGGAAAAACAATATTTGTTGAGTTAACAAAATGGCACTGTCACTGGTGCTTAGCTAGGCAAACCATTTCTCAAAAGCCAGAATGATTTTTAGGGGAAAAAAAAGCTGACTTTATTGCACAACCTTCACCAACACCAGAGAATTTTGAAATAAAATTGAGCTACTCAAAAACTTAAAAAACTCAAATGCTACCCCTTTCACCTCTCGCTACCTGTCCTGGCTATTTAGTTCATTGAAAATTTGAGCCCCAACTCTTGCAACTACCTCTACCTCTAATCTGATTAAAGATTTTAAGGCTATGTTTGGAATAAATCCACAATATGTACATAATTCATTTTACAAATTTACACTTATTTAACTAAAATATGATGAAAGTTTTACTTAAAATAGTAAATGCTGAGCTCATTCGGAATTCTATATAGAATTGGAACAACGTAATCCATTCCATCAGTTTTTATGGAATTTGGAATTTATGTTTTCAGGTCTATAAAAATTCCATATGGACTTAATTTTTATTATTCTAGATAGAAGTTATGCTCATTAAAATAAATATTGATTCACAAATGAATTCCACAAGGTCTGAATTTGTTCTAACTATAGCACAAGACTTCTAACAACCTTCTCAGTAATGTGCATATCCATATAACTTTTCTTCATCTTGCCAGGACTTTAATGTCCTGCAATGGCAAAGGAAAGATGAATTTGATGCATCCTAACAAGAAATTGACTTGCTAAGAAAAATGGATAGGGAGGTTTTGGAGATATCTCTAAAAAGGAAATTTCTTCCTTTTTTCTCGGCAGTTTAGGCAACGCTAATACAATGTGCTTTGAGAATATTAAAAGTTGAACTCACATAATATGAAAAAAATATCTCCCAGAGGCAGAGACATGAATTACATCTTCCAGTGTTTAGGTTTTTCTTGGTATACACCCTTTATTTGGCTAGAAACATGAATTCAACCAGAGTTCCCATTTCCTGGCCGTACCCACATGGCTTTTACTGCTTGCCATTTGACTTGGATTTGAAGAAAATAAAGGACACCACATTTCAAACATATTTGGCATGTCTGACAATTGACAACCCATATGAATGTAAATATGAATACAAGTAATTATTTCATACACAAGGATAGAAGAACTTACAGTTGAGCTATCCTCTTTTAGATTTTCCAACGACTCAGCAAGCTGCATTTGTTTTGATGCAGTAGCAAGCAGTGCCTTTGAAGAATTAAAGTCAAGGTTCAATAACCACCTTGAGAAAAAAATTACAGAACAGTCATGGTTGGAGAAAAAGAGATTATACCTTCTTCGTCCTCTGTAAATCTAGTTCTATAGATTTAATGCGACTCAGTGATTCCTGAAGCATGTCATCTTTCTCTGGAGGAATTTTCGTAGGTTTATTGAACAGTTCGGTTACTAACGTTTCTAAATGTTGCAGCCTCTGGCAACATGGATGGAGTGAAGCCTCTTCCACTACAGGTGAAATACGTTCCAACTGGGGTCTCAACTGGTTCTCTAATCGTTTTTGCGAAGGTTGCACTAGAAACAATCTCTTCAACATTTGGAGTAGGAGATATATACACGCTAACAATTTGAGAATGAAGGAAACCACTAAACTTGTTACATGATGAATAGAATTCTTCAGCTGCCGTTTTGGGAGAACATTATTGGCTAAATTATCTGTCAGGAGGCACCAAATTAGTTACAGCCTAAAATATTGATCAGAAACAAGTTAAACTGTCACTTTAGCACTGAAGAGAAAAAAAAGATCAGCAAGATCCTTTTTGCAGAGTGAAGCAACTATCCAGTAACTTCAGCAGATTAATTAAGGACTATTATTTTGGAACATCTCCATATAGTTCACTTTGGAAAAAGTGAATATACTATTATGATTAAATCACCAAAGTAAAAAAGAAAGGCCTATCAATTTACAAAATGCCAAAAAAAAAAATAGAAATTAAGGTTAGAAGTGTTCAGGTGTTATATCACATGACAAGCAAGCAATGTAAAACATTATTCGCTTAAATGCTTCTGAATCCACATCTGGCCTACGTGCATGCTCATGTAGTTTGTCCAAATTAACTAATACGTTATTTTCTACGAAACATAAACACCAATCTTAGGTTAAGATAGGAATAATGGATGTTGCACAAATTAGTTTGTAAGTAAGTAATCTGAAAAACACCATCATGACACAGGTTTGCAAAGCACTGCAATTTTGAGGTGCACAATTGCTTATGCATCACCTACTTGTTAAATTACAATCTTCAATTCTTGCAACATTAGCTGCTTCTACAAAGTTGCAGACTGAAGCTGCATCATTCGTCTTTCCCTGAGGCATGACAAGTAACAATTAATTTTTTATGTTTCTAAAAATATTTTAGAAAGCAGTAAAGAGAAAAAATCCAAAAGAATTAGTAGTAGTAAAGTTAACATATAACAATAGTATCATTCACTATAATTGTTTAAAATCCAAAATAAAACTATGATTGGTCCATTAACATCCTTTTGGAAAAAAAAAAAAAGGAGAATTAGTAACAAAATTGTAGCAATCGACCTTAAGACCCAGGCTTTGTTTCCCTTAACTTAGATGTCTATCAGAACTTACAACATTGTCGCATTTGTAATCAGTTGTTTCGTTCACTTCTTAGCTTGCAAACACCCCAAAAAAATCGGACATTTTGTATTTTTTATGTTTCTAAAAATATTTTAGAAAGCAGTAAAGAGAAAAAATCCAAAAGAATTAGTAGTAGTAAAGTTAACATATAACAATAGTATCATTCACTATAATTGTTTAAAATCCAAAATAAAACTATGATTGATCCATTAACATCCTTTTGGAAAAAAAAAAAGGAGAATTAGTAACAAAATTGTAGCAATCGACCTTAAGACCCAGGCTTTGTTTCCCTTAACTTAGATGTCTATCAGAACTTACAACATTGTTGCATTTGTAATCAGTTGTTTCGTTCACTTCTTAGCTTGCAAGCACCCCAAAAAAATCGGACATTTTGTTACTAAGTGAGGACTCAATCAAATGCAGTCCAGCAGTTGCTTTCATTAGTAATGTCATAAGTTCTAAAAAACAGAATGGAACTTTATCATAGACCAAGATTCCCATTCACTACTCAGTTCTAGAATATTTGTTTTGCAACTGTTCAACGTGCCAATTGACTTTTTAGTTTCCACTATGATACAATTTTCTCAAACCCCTGAAAATGGCACAAAATCATAGATTACAACAAACAAAATCATTGCCAAATTACTGATATTCATATAAATGAGGTTATTTCTTTTTTTCTTAACCTATTCTTTATAAAACTTCTGTTTATTGGATGAACCAAATAACAGAATTAAAGCCTCTGCTATGGTGGGGTAAAATGTCACCCCCCTCTCCAAAATTTTGTTTCTGACTATCTAACTGGCATCAATGTGCTTAATGTGTGTATATCAAGACCTCCCGTGCCAAAAGACCAAGAAATCCCAATCTGGGGAAAGAAAAGGCCCTTTCAAACTAACAACATTTAGTGGTTTCTTTGATCTTAATTTTTTTAGTGTTAGCAAATAATTACGTTTTAAAGAATCAATTGATGAGAAATAAGCTTCCTGGATCATGGGATAGATAGAGAGGAAAAAACTACAAATTTTTCGTGACTTTTGCTTCAAGTTGGAAGATTTTGGTGGGAACTGGCTGGGATAAAATCATTAAAAGGTTAAAGATACAACGGACAAGGGAAACAAAACTAACTAAATTCTTGCATAAATTACCCCGTCAGAAAGTACTACTGTTTGCATCGAGCCTGAAGCATTTGAAGTGGCATCTGTTCCTGAATCAACTAAAGATATTTCACTACCTTTAACCTGTAAAAGGAATCAAACTGCTGTAACATGCAGTGCATAGCTAGAGGATGATCAAAGATGGAAGAAGGTTGGTTAACAAACAAAATCACCTTAGTTGAAAATAATTTTACTCCAAAATCATCATAATCAGATGAACTTATAATTTTCCTCGAGTAGAGTGCATCTCCAGAGTGAACCAGCTGCAACAGGAAATTGGCAATCATATAATATTTGAGATATGGGAATCTTAGATATATGAAGGCATTAGCTGTAAGATACAAATTATTACAATAAAAAGGAATCAATATTGCTACATAAGAAAAAATATCAACAAAGAAAATGATGGACATTTTGCTCAGTGCCAAACAACTGGAATCAATTACTGACTATGATCATACTTTCATGATATCTAAGTCACTCCAGGGCCCCTTGTTTGATCTCATACATCCACCTTCATTCGAGCAAGAACACGTCCCACCAAGAAAATATGGCAATTGGCTGTTTAAGAAGAAACTAATAAAATTTAGAAAGATAACTAAACTAATTTAGCACTACAGTAATAATAAAAAAGAGATTCTAACCTTGCGTCTATAACCTCCAACAATTTATTATGAAAAGCAGTACCTAGTACCTATACAGATAGCCAAGACAAACAATTTCTTATCAGCTCAGACACCTTCAATGGTAAAAAAAAGGAAATTATCAATATCTTTGTACATGTATCTTTGAAGTAGTCTTGGGATCAAGAAAGCCTTTGGCTGTGTTCCAAAGCAGTTTGAATCCATTGCCAGCATTAACAATGTACATTTGATGCAATGTCTGTTTAATATAAGGTAGTGTTAGTAACATCACTAAGCATGGCAACCAATAACTTGGATCACTTTTTCTTTATTTTAGCATACTAATTAAGCCACCTCAGGGTAGTTGTCACCATCAATTTTCTGCATGCGCATTACAAGATCATGGGCAACCTTGCCAAAGCTCATCCAGTTCTGCATAATCAAGAGAAAATAAGAAATACTGTGTGCAAATCATGTAATATGCAGAACTTGAAAGATACTGACAATTCCCTGCACATCCAGTATAGTTGTTGTAGAATCTATGTGCCTCTTGGCTGCAATTGAACATGCTGGAAATTTCTCAGCAAAAGCCTTCTCAAACCCTTGAACATGATATCTTAAGAACCGGTCCACTGTGGTAACACTCATTAGCTTGCTGGGGTCAATTTTACCAATCCGTTCAATATAAACAGGTCGACCATCTTTGTCTACGCCATGGTAACCATGAGGATAGCAAAACTGAACCTCTTCATACTCATCATATACAAAATCCTGAGCCATGAGTCATAAGATGCTGGTGATATATTAAAGTAAATGACTACCAAAGACAGAAAATTGAAAAAGAAAAAAGGGTTTCCATGGATCAGCAATGGTTTCATAACGTGACAGAAATTCTA